TATATATATATATATATGTATATATATATATATATATGGAAAATATGCATACAGACATGAACCAGACACTGAACTTATTCCAGTTCAGTGTCTGATTGAAAGCTATGCTTTAATGTGTCTTTGTGCATGCTTACTGTGAATGTTTTATTATTTAATTCAACCCCACTCTTTTCTTTCAGCCACTAAAGCCTCCATATCCTTATAGAAAATATAGCAAAGGCTACCAACTTCTGACAGGACACATCATAACTACCATTGGAGCACTTTACTTCTTTTTTAGAGGGGTAGGCTATGTATCTAATGCTGTTGGTTTAAAAACAAATTCATATATAACTTTCATATACAAAATAATTTCCCCCCTTTTTTACAGAAATTACTGAATTCCCTTATCTTTTAAGTTAATAGATATGTTAAGAAAGCGTCCAAGATTTCAGTCCCTGATCATAGATGGATACACCGATCAGCTTTTGTGAGTGCTTTCACGGTCTAATATTTATCTAAATATTAATAATTAATTAGCACTCTCTTTTTTTACTTATGTATTAATAATTTCCAAATACAGATCGCTTGAAATTACATTCTTTGCCAATAATTTTACTAGTTAGGGTTTAAACTTATCACATGGTTGATTTCTGAAAATTCGGACATTTCTGAAATCACTCTATATTTCCATCACACAGCTAAATTGCACTAATCAAACACATTTTTACTCCAGAATTAGTAATCATTAGGTGTATACGTTCATTGTTTACTCCTCCTAATAAGGTTTTTTGATGCATTAGTTTTCTGCAGGCCGTGCTCTTCCTGGCATGTGCTCTGCTGTACTGCTTTGGTCAGGATGAATATGTGGCCTGTCTAGTTCTGTGTCTTGCCTTGAGCTGGGTAAATCTACTCTACTTCTCCAGGGGGTCCAAAAATATGGGAATCTACAATGTCATGATACAAAAGGTGAGTGATAATTGTCTTTCTTATCCATCATCCTTTGCTCTGGCCTTCAGATTAGAGTATTAGTAAAGTATGGTTTGTGTAGCACTATGCAACACATTTAATGCCTCATTGTAGTGTATACTAGTCTTTACAGTTCAGGCTTTTTACTTCATGTGTGTATGACACACTCTCACACTCTTTAATTATTGGCAGATGGTTCTTGGAGAAATTCGTCGATTCCTTGTCGTGTACATGGTCTTCCTCATTGGGTTCTCTGCAGGTATATTTGCATACATTCATGAATGTCCTTGACTCTTTTACATTTATATTTAGTCATTTAGCAGACACTTGAGGACATGAGGACATGAGGACAATGGAAGCAATCAAAATCAACAAAAGAGTAATGATATGCAAGTGCTATATGACAAGTCTCAGTTAGCTTAACGCAGTGTACGTAGCAAGGTTTTTTTTTTAAATAATATAATAACTAGAAAGAAAACAGAAATTATTGGCAGATGGTTCTTGGAGAAATTCGTCGATTCCTTGTCGTGTACATGGTCTTCCTCATTGGGTTCTCTGCAGGTATATTTGCATACATTCATGAATGTCCTTGACTCTTTTACATTTATATTTAGTCATTTAGCAGACACTTGAGGACATGAGGACATGAGGACAATGGAAGCAATCAAAATCAACAAAAGAGTAATGATATGCAAGTGCTATATGACAAGTCTCAGTTAGCTTAACGCAGTGTACGTAGCAAGGTTTTTTTTTTAAATAATATAATAAATAGAAAGAAAACAGAAAAAATAGAAAACAAATAGAGCAAGCTAGTGTTAGGGGTCTTTTTTGCTTTTGTTAATTGTATAATAAATGAAAAGAAAACAGATAGTATAGAAAAAGAATAGAGCAAGCTAGTGTTAGGGGTCTTTTTTGCTTTTGTTAATTGTATAATAAATGAAAAGAAAACAGATAGTATAGAAAAAGAATAGAGCAAGCTAGTGTTAGGGGTCTTTTTTGCTTTTGTTAATTGTATAATAAATGAAAAGAAAACAGATAGTATAGAAAAAGAATAGAGCAAGCTAGTGTTAGGGGTCTTTTTTGCTTTTGTTAATTGTATAATAAATGAAAAGAAAACAGATAGAACACAAAAAGATTAGAAAGCTAGTGTTAGTTTATATATATATATATATAAATAAAACAAGCAGCAAATGAATAGAGTGCAAGTCTAAAAGGAACAAGTTTTTTTTTTAAAGAATATAATTAGAATAGAGAGTGCTAGAGTTAGAGGGTCAAATAAAGATGGAAGAGATGTGTTTTAGCTGATTCTTGAAGATGGCTAAGGACTCAGCTGCTCGGATTGAATCGGGCAGGTAATTCCACCAGGAGGGAACAGTTCATTTAAAAGTCAGTAAAAGTGATTTTGTGCTTTTTTGGGATGGCACAATCAAGCGTCTCTTTTATTACAATTAATTTCATTTTTATCACAAAGCAACAAACATTTCCCAATTACACTACTGCACAAAAGTTTGGGTCAGCAAGTTAAAAAATTTTTTTTTTTTAAAGAAATGAATACCTTTATTCAGCAATGATGCATTAGGTTGATCAAAAGTGACATATTTCAAATAAATGATGTTCTTTAAAATTTTCTATTGCTCAAATAATTCCACAAATGTTTGTGTTTTAATGATTTGTTTCTTATTCAACAGCCGTGGTAACGCTCCTTGATGAAACAGTCCCTAGTATGGGACGATCTTTATTCGCTCCTATTACTGGAAATGAAAACTGTACGAAGCCCTTATTCAAGAGCATCTACTACACCACTCTGGAGATGTTCAAGTTCACGATTGGCATGGGAAATCTGGAGTTCACCGATCAGTATAAGTATATAGAGGTCTTCTATGTACTGCTAATTTTGTATATAGTGATGACTTACATTTTGATGCTGAACATGCTGATCGCTCTGATGAATCAAAGAGTGGAGGAGATGTCTGTAGAGAGCACCAGCATCTGGAAACTACAGGTGAAATCAAAGGCAAAGTTAAAGCTGTCTACCCATTTCTGCAATAAACATACAATGTAAATCCTTTAAAGGGGTCATATGATGCGATTTCAATTTTTCCTTTCTCTTTGGAGTGTTACAAGCTCTTGGTGCATAAAGAAGATCTGTAAAGTTGCAAAGACTAAAGTCTCAAATCCAAAGAGATATTCTTTATAAAAGTTAAGAGTCAGCCACGCCTACCTAGAATGGCTCGTTCTAACACACCCCCACATATCTACGTCACGATGTGGGAAGATTTGCATAACGCCACCCAAATGTTTACGCAAAGAAAGAAGGCGTAACTTTTATTCTCGCCACCCGAAACCCCAAGATCTAAAGTCTGCATTTGTCTCCTATTTAAAAATGGATGATTCATTTTGAAAAGAGGATATTAGCATGCATACACAAACATTATATGGGTGCTATATGACAAGTCTCAGTTAGCTTAACACAGTATCCGTAGCAAGGTTTTTTTTTTAAATAATATAATAAATAAAAAGAAAACTGAAAAAATAGAAAACGAATAGAGCAAACTAGTGTTAGGGGTCTTTTTTGCTTTTTTGCATGATAATGCACACTTACCCTGTATTGATCTGTGTTTACTGTCAAACACACTTAAGTGAAACCATGAGCAATAATTGAAGCATGGGTCCTCTTTCTTTCAGTGTGGAGGAAGTCAACTGGAACCAATGGAACAGAAACCTGGGTGTAGTTACCGAGGATCCTGGGAAATGCATGCCTGTACCTTCCCCAACTAAACTTCAGAGAGGTAGTCAATGTTAAACAAATGTGTGTGTGTGTGTGTATGTTTGTGTTATTTTAATCTTACATCATATCATTTGTATTGGTTACAGAGCCCAGCCGGAGTGGACTCCTGCAAACGTTCAGTAAACGCTGGACACAGAGACCACAACGCAGAGATGTACAGGAGCTGAGTCCTCTAGCTGAGGCCTCTAGCTCCGTATAATGATGCCTTTATAATCTGTAATCTATTGCGATGTATTTTACAATTCCCTTTCAGTCCAACTGGTGTAGGATATATGATATAGGATGACTGGTTAAAACTTGACTGAGTTTAAAAAACATATGCACTTCTAGAGTCATTCCTGTTATGCATCATATCTTTTTAACTGTAATAAAAAAAAATGAATATGCACGTTGTAATTTAAGAAAGCATTTATATAAAATAATATACATATCTAATTTCATGTGTGTGAAAATATGAAATATAATTTAAAAAAAGATTAAATATGATTATTCACGCTGTGGCAGGAAAAAGAACAGAATGGAAATAAAGAGCTGAAGTCAGCCATTGCTCAGTAAAGGACTGAGAGCTAGCTAAAATTAGGATGTCAACTTTGTTCATTTTGAAATATTTGAATCATCTTTGAAATTTTGATATCATACTGATGTTTTTAGTTTTAGCAAACAGGATTTTTTCAACACAAATCAATATCACAAAAACAAAATTAGTCTCAAACTGTCATTTTGATGAGAAATAATTTTTCTATTAGATTTTGATTGGAAAATTAAGAATAGTTGGTAATTGTGTGTCCACTAAAACATGAAATAATAATAATAAAAAAATAACAGTATGTAATATTCACCTCAATGTTCACTTAATTGTGATAAAACAAAACTAATATGATTTCCATATTTAAAATATGAATATAAAAAATTGTGTTTAATCATTTATTCATTACATTAACACTAAACTCAAACACAAAAGTACCCCAAGTAGGCTACCTATTAATTTATTTTTTATTATTTTTTGACATTTAAAGACATAATACATTTGAGACATATAACGATGATGTCAAACTACTGCACAATGAGAATGACCCTCAGACACATTCTGTAGCCAAAACTGTACAAAGCTTGAATGTTGGATATAGACATCTTTTATTTCAGAACATTTATGTTCTCAGTGGTTATGAGTAATTGCAATCAAGTTAAATATTTGCATATTCAGTTTACTTTTAATGCATACCAATGTAATTCATGAAAGCTAATCTTGGACTGATTTTAGGGGCAACGTGCAAAACTGTTTGTGTATCGCCCTCTTGTGGTTACGCGTGGTGTTGCTTGTGTCTGATGTGTCACAACAGAGACCTACATCTAACAAGCATCACAGGATGATGCAAATAAGGTCCAGACACTATGAATCCACTGTGCCTAACACCAGTATACTTATTGCCACTATAATTGAATGTGTCCACTCATGTCATTCTTTTCCTATTTTACTGGCCAGTAGCGCACCGTTCATTAAGGTTCAGTGATGGATGGGTCATGTCCTCCGACTATTACTTCACTGCAGAGCTGTAATGCTGTGACTCCAGATCGCGAATGACTAAACTAAAATTGACTTCTGCACCAGACGGCTTAAATGCGGTGACCTGCCTGGTCTGCGTCACTTCCTGCACTGTCTCCCTTTGATAAATAGAGCCGTTGAATAAAACTAGCTGCAATCATGCGTAACTGAGACAGCCAGGGCCTCATTCGGAGTGGAAGCTGTTTTCCCTCTAAATGTTGACTTGCCAGTCCTGAATAAGAACTGTATTCTGTAACTGTATTCTTAGAAACTACTGAATGTTGTTTTACTCAATATAGTAACTTTTAATCAATGTATAAGCTTTGTAAAGTTGTTGTGAACGATTTATATTGTGAAGAGTGACATACAAATCAATTCTGAATAAAATTCAATGGACTACGCAAAACTGTAAAGCAGAATTGTGTATTCTGGATGTTTAAATCCATGGCCAGAGTCAGATATCCTGACTGCTACATTTTAAGTTATGTACTGTGGCTGTGTGAAATAATTATCAGACCTTGTTACCAAAACTGACTTACAATACACAATTTGCGAGGACAATCCCTCAGAATCTGTTCAGTGATTTAGATGTGTCAGCAGCAAATGTTAAGTTGGTTTGCTTTACCTCAATTTGAACCTGCAAGAGTAAACGGCTCTGCTGAATAATCACTACTAGAACCACCAATAAGATACATTCTTTCATCACCAGTGTGATTTTGTGACCATTAAATATTTTTCCCACTTTAGACATCAATGTCAGCTCATTTATATTTGACTGTTTGCTTTGATGTTTTTAGTTTGGGATGGTCTGGTATTTCCTGCAATATATAGCTACCAGCAGTCAAAGCATCATGTTTAAAACCCGGATGAGCAGACACTGCTTAAGGAAACAGTTTCTTAAAACAAGATCACTGTCAAAAAAGTCCTTGAATACCATATGAGAGTATACACAGGTTGACCAGTTCAAGGTTGAAGATCTAGCAGGTTTTGAGCAATCAACTGAAACGGAGTCATACATGAAAGCATAAATTAGAATTTTATTTTATTATTACAATATTACAAAAAAAAAAAAAAGTAGCACAACTTTCAGGCTCTTCAGACTCTTCCCACGCATTCAACTGACATCCACAGAGTGACAGATACCAGAAAGGTTTCTAGAAGCTTCCTCCATTTCACAGCAATTGCAAAATGAAAAAAAAAAATAAAACATTTAAATAATGAGGAAAAAAATCTAGTTCAGAATTATAAATAGCACAAATTGCAAAACTGAAGCTTTGAAACATGGAATAAAAAGATTTTGTTACAGCCCAGAACTACACACAGCTATAAAACAATGACGATAAAATATTCTTTATTTCTTCATTTACATTATAAAGTAATTCTAAAGAACTGCTTTTCTATTCAACAAAAGCTCAAGATAATAAAAATAAACAAGGAAAAATGCTGTTCCTTTATAGTCTATTTTTTTTTCAAAATCAGAATTCATTAGACCTTTATTATAATCATGCTTGTTTGTCAAAGGAAAGTCCAAGGACCAAATACTTAAGGCTTCATGAGGGCTGTTGAGGGGAGGCAAACCAACCGTGAGTCAAGACAAACCGACCCACCAGCTCACAAACACACACACACACACACACCCCATCCACCATCACACACATGCCCATACACACCTACGCTCATCACATGCACACCAAATAAATCTGTGAACCCATATCCATATGCAGCCACATTCATACAGTTATTACACTTCTTTAAAGTTACAGCAGTACAGTAGATAAGCCAGTGTACAATAAAATAAGCAATTCACCTGCTGTTTCACCTTTTTGACTTTTTTTCTTTTAAAAAGTCTTCAATTTAACCACAAATGATCTTGCAAGTGATCAATTTGGTCAATTCAAGCACACTTCACAAAAGAATCAGTAGCAACTACTTTACATTATTATAAAGGATGAACTAGAAAACGCAGGATCATAAACCCTTGATTTGGTACATAGTTTCTACATCATAATATTAGCAACAAGCCTACAGACACCACCTTCAGTAGTATGTTTAGTCCCGCAAACCCACTTACAGCTATACCACATATGACCCACCTGAAACTGCACAACTCATCTATACAATTCAAGTAGTAGTTTCTCATATGTTAAGAAATGAAGGGAGTATAATGATCAGGTAAAACAAAAATGGCACAGCTTTAACATTAAAACATTTGTAGCTTTTCTCCTTTGGCCTTACCAGCGTTAAAGAGAAAAGACAGAATCTTTCACAATCATTATACAAAACTTCACTCACATTAGTGACTCAGAATGCAAAATGACACCTGATTTGTTGCATCACTGAAAGACTGTAAAAGAGGTTTTATATATGTATGCGGTTCCTGTCATTTAAGTTTCCTGCTGCTCACAAAGCATCTAGCAAAACAAGTTGATGTTTCAACCTTTCACAAGCCTAAAGCAGTTCGAATTTCACACATAAATCCATAAAGCCCATAACAAATCCATTTGATTTCTAAACATTTAAAAAAACAGGTGCCCTGTGTTACAGGAACACATGACAAGAGCTTTCACCTAGGAACAGTCTGAAGGGACCAGTGACTGGCATATTCCCGCATAGCTCAGACACTGAAGAAAGATAGAAAGGACGAAGAATGGTGTCATGCTGAAGAGAGAAGTGCTCGGAGTCTGTCAGCCATTTTGATGTTATAAGACGGGCTCAAAACAAAGATCTCTCAAATGAAATCATGTCGGTTGTCCAATGAACAGAAGGCCTGGTGCCCTCAGTTTAGAAGTGATCTATTTCACAAGACACCTTTAATAAAGTAAGCACTAACACAAGAAAGACGTTCATAAATAACCCAGGAGCACTTGAGATCTGGGCACCTAGAGAGGAGACATGACAGAATTGGAAGAAAAAACTAAACAAAACTAAATTCCCTTTAGTGCCTTAAAAAAAGCACTTGTTAAAGAAAAAAATTGATCACTTGCAAGATTAATAACACAAAACTTTGCTCTTCCTTAGACATATTTGTATTGTTGTTTTTTCTTTGTTTTCATCAACAATCATCCATGAGGTTTTGAGCTCATTTAGTTCCTCTCGTAATGTAATTTCATTAAGACTAACAGGAGGTGTCGAGGACACACGTGTGTGGCTGACTTCACTGAGGAGAGACTGTGTCTGAGGCTTGTGGGCTGAAGCTTATCTGTACCCTGGGTGCTGGCTTTGCGTCTCGGAGTGGGGGACCACTACCCGGCCCATAGGGGGTGGCCTGTGCATTTTCCCCATCAGGATGAGATTCTGATCTCGGAAGCAGGGCGTCTGGAAGTCCCCTCCCATGCAATCTGCCGTTTGCATCAGATTAGGCTGCCCTATTAAGGCACCTCCTACTAATCGGTAATGGGCCGCTCCTCCCGTGGGGGCACAGTCCATCGCTGGGGTGGGGTTGGTATTGCCTGTGCCAGTGCCATGGAAGGGCACCGGGAGGTCCTGTGAGCCGGAACTGTCGCTGTTCGGCGTGGGAAGAAAACTACCCCACACCGGCGGCTGGTGGTAGTACTGCCCGTTGGTGTAGTGTGTCACCGCACCTGGGGGCATTGCATTGATGCTGTTGTTAGCAAGTGGCGGTGAGGGGCTGGAGGGTTTCATGGCATAAGGCTGCCCCATGCCCATTTCTGGTGGATAGGTAATGCAAGGGAGGCCAGGGTCAAGATTCGGGGGTTGGCAGGGGTGTCTGCCCCCTTCCGAGATGTGTTGCAGGTGAGCAAGCTGATGCTGAGTCCAAGACCT